AAAAAAAAAAAAAAAAAAATAACTGCGAAAACACAAGACAACGAGTCACCCAGCACACAGAAAGCCATTCAGGGAAAGCTGTCCATGGCCAACAGCAGGCCTCGGACTCCTGCCTACAGACCGCGTGGGGCGCCGGCCAGGCCAAGGGCAGCTCGCTGGCGGCCCACGGCGCCCGGAAGAACGGGGCGGGCGGCAAGAGCGCAGGCAAGCGGCTGCTGAAGAGGGCGGCCAAGCACAGCGTGGACCTGGACGACTATGAGGAGCAGGACCACCTGGACGCCTGCTTCAAGGACTCGGACTATGGTGAGCGCCGTGCGCAGAGCCTGCCGGTGGAGCTGGCCTTTCTTAGGAGAGAGAACTCAGAGACCATAACGTCCTGTTAGAGTGCGCCGCGCCATATGCACAGGTTGTTAGCCTCAAACACATCTTGAAGCAAAGGCGCTCGGCGGGCCAGGTAAACGGTACTACCCTGAAGGCAGCGTATTTGTCCAGGTTTTAGACAAACGTCCGGTAAGAAAATAAATGACCGTGTCCGTCCTGAGACCTTGGAGGCCCAGAGGTATAATAGCACTGCTTCCGCGCTCTGGCCTGGGCCGGCGTGCGACAAGTCCCCTCCCCTCTCGCCAGGTGAGGATGCCCCGCAGCAGCCTCGGCTGCCACTCCGCTCCAATGCAGTATGGGGAAGGGGCTAGGACAGGGGTGGGCAAACTTTTTGACTCAAGGGCCACAATGGGTTCTTAAACTGGACCGGAGGGCCGGAACAAAAGCATGGATGGAGTGTTTGTGTGAACTAATATAAATTCAAAGTAACCATCATTACATAAAAGGGTACGGTCTTTTTTTTTTTAGTTTTATTCATTTCAAATGGGCCGGATCCGGCCCGCGGGCCATAGTTTGCCCACAGCTGGGCTAGGAAAATAAAGAGGAATGTTAAGGGACACTGCCCTGCCGGCTCCTGGCTCCGCTGGAGCAGGACTTACGTGTTACCATTGCTGCGCGCGCGCACACACACACACACACACACACACAAGGTGTGCAGCTCAGTGGTGTTTACTGTGTTTAGAGGGTGTGCCACCATCACAACAGCCAATCGGAGCCCGTCACCCCCCCAGAGGAAGCCGCTCCCCCGCCTGTCGCTGCCCCTGGTAACCTTGTCTCCTGGTCAGCCTGGGTGTCTGTTCACTGAATCCAACAGTGCGTGGCCCTGGTGTCTGGCGTTCTCCTCAGGGCTCACCACGGGCAGCATGGGGCAGCCCCTCCCGTGATGGCTGAGCACCGCCACACAGTGCGGTGGCTGACCACAGTGTGCACGCTGCATCGTGCGCCCCTTCCTCCCCCGCACTCCAGAGGGCTGGTTGTGACGAGCGCTGCCTGGACACTGGTGTGCAGGGGCTTGTGTGGTCTGTGCTCGTGTGCCCAGGTACATACGTGGGAGGGGCACCGCTGGGTGGAAGGTTTTAGCTCATTTCACCTTCTGAGGTCCCGGCCAGCCGTCCTCCATGCAGCTGCACCATTCCACACTAGTGGATGCACTGAGGCTGCGTCTACCGTCTGTCTGCGTGTAGATGAGACACAGGCTCTGTGGCCTGCGTCTGAGGTGGCAGTGAGTTAGGGGCTGGGCCATGGGTGCAGTCTTCTTCCGGGGGCATGGCCCCTCCAGGCTCTGGGGTCCAGGCTCTAGAAGGGGATTTGGAATCAAGGAGCTGCCTAGGGACGCGTCCGTCCCCACGGGCACAGCGTGCTAACACAGGCCCCCCGCTCCCCAGGGTTAGGAGTGCGCTGCCCCCATGCTGTAAGGCCTGCCTTCAGCGCAGCCCTGATGGGCCAGGGGCCCAGTGCCCGTGCCCCTGTCCCCACAGCCCTCCAGGGGGGCCTGCCCTGCCCCATCTGCTCGACACGTCCGTGCCTCGCCAGGGCCTGCCCTGGGCTGACTGAAGTGGAGTGAACGCCATTTTCTGGGCACAGGGTGGGTGCTGGGGTTTCAGGTGCCACAAGTCCTGGTGGTTGAAGGTCACAACTTACAGTGCGGGAGGTGGGGGTGGCACCTGCAAGTCACCTAGAGCGACCGTGTGAGGCTGTCTCCTCCAGAGACTCCCTGAGGCGGGCTGGGGGTGCTCAGAGCCATCAGCTCTGTGGATGTAGGATGTTTGTTTTCTGGTAGCGGCAGAGGCGAGACGTTCTCAGAAGAACGGGTGAACGGGGTGCTGCAGTCAGGCTGGGGTGGGCGAGGCTGTTGAGGTGCCCCCGGGGGCTGGATGGGGCCTCTCGGCTGCCCAGTGGCTGCCCCTCTCTGAGCCTAAAGGGGTCCTGGGCTGGGTAGTTTCTGGGGCCCCCCGTGCCCGACGCTCTGCACCCTGAGGATGGCTCCCAGGACGTTAGTTCCCTGGTCTGCAGTCCCACGCCCGGGTGGCCGGGCTCAGCCCTCCCTCCCCTTGCCTCTGCAGTGTACCCCTCCCTGGAGTCTGACGAGGACAGCCCCGTCTTCAAGTCCCGGTCCAAGAAGAGGAAAGCCTCAGACGACGCTCCCTACAGCCCAACAGGTAGTGCTGGGACGGGAGGGGCTCCGTCCACACCCGCAGGACAGCCACGGGCACGGGGGCTCTGTGCAGGCGAGAGGGGTGTCCCTGCCTGCTGCTCTCCTGGGCCTGGTGCCAGGAGCTCCTGGGTGGCCTGGGGTGGTGCCCCGGGTGGGCCAGCCCCTCCCTAGTTTCTTCTCAGTGAGCAGCCCGGGAGAGCCGCCTTCGCTTCTGGCCCCCAGATGGCAGCCAGTGGGGGAGCGGGGGGGCTTGTCCACTTTACACATGACCCCCTCCTGCCCGCTCCTGCCTTGCTGGGTGGGATCCCTTACCCGATTGGGCCTCTCACTGACCCTCCCCAACTTGTGAGGTGTCCCTGGGCTCAGGAGCAGGCTGGGCTGGGGTGGGTCCAGGGGTGCCCGCAGTGCGGGCCGCCCATTGAGGCACACTGTCCTTCTTTCCCAAAGCGAGGGTCGGCCCCTCGGTGCCGAGGCAGGACAGGCCTGTTCGAGAGGGGACCAGAGTGGCCTCCATCGAGACCGGGCTGGCGGCCGCTGCAGCCAAGCTGTCCCAGCAGGTGAGGAGGGCCCCACCCGGTGCAGAAGCCCCCCGTGCTGAGGGCTGGCACAGCTGAGGGGATTTGAGTGTTGCTTTATTCAGGCCCCCGAGTCCCCACAGTGGGGGGTGATGGCAGGAACCAGTGCCTGGGCCCCTCGCACTGTCTTGGTGAGGACCGTTGTCCCAGGTGCGGGGGACACCGCTCCTCGGGGCCTCCCCCGTCGCTGGACACCCGGCGTCTTCCTCTCGTCCTCACGGAGCTGAGGGGGCTGCGCCATCCCCGTCCACCTCCTTTGCCACCTCAGCTCCTCCTGGTCCCAGTTCCCTCAGAAGAGAGGGTCTCGGACTCTCGGGTGTCACCCAGATCAGGCCCGACCCCATCTGGGCACCTGAGGAGGTGAAAGGACCACAGTGAACATTCTAGAGCCAAGAGTCCCAAGGCGGCTCAGAGCCGGGTGACGGAGGAGGGCGCCGAGCTTAGTGCCGCATCCCACATGGTCCCCTGTGCAGGGCACCCCCGCATGAGGGAGCGTGGTGCCCTCCTCAGGCCCCGCCCCGCCCTGCCCTGAGGGGCACAGGCACTGGCCCAGCCCTCTCGGCCCCCTGGAGAGGCCTCATGCACAGGGACCTGCCTCCCCTGGGTCCAGGGTGGTGAGGGCTGCTCCCTGCCTGCCTGCCCAGCACCTGAGGCCCAGCCCGCCCTGCTGGCCAACTTGCCCACCTGCTTTGTTCAAAGGAGGAGCAGAAAAGCAGGAAGAAAAAGAACTCCAAGAGGAAGCTGACGCCCAATACCACCTCCACCTCCACCTCTGCCTCCACCACCTCGGCCAGCACCACCTCGGCCTCCACCACCTCGGCCTCCACCACCCCGGCCTCCGCCACCCCTGCCTCCACCAGCACGGCCTCCACCAGCACCGCCAGCAGCCAGGCCTCGCAGGAGGGCAGCTCGCCCGAGATCCCACCTGAGGCGCACAGCAGCAGCCTGGCCGACCACGAGTACACGGTGGCCGGCACCTTCAGCGGGGCCCAGGCAAGCCGTGCCTCTCAGCCCATGGCCCCCGGGGTCTTCCTCACACAGAGGCGGCCCTCCGCGTCGTCCCCCAACAACACCGCTGCCAAAGGTACCGTACCTGCCGGCCCTACGCAGCCTAGACTTGCAGACTGTCTCCGTAGATGACCGCAGGCTTCCTCTGTCCCCGTAGCCCTGTGTGTGTGGCCACACGGTCAGTGTGTGAAAGAAATGGCCTCTTTCAAGTTTGAGGGCCAGAGTCACACACAGGGGGTCTGGTTACCTGAGTTTGGCCCAGTCCCCAGATCCCAAGTGCTTTGGCTTTGGGCTTAGCTTGGAGTCAGTGTGTGGTAAACGGTTTGCCAAGGGTTCTCTGGGAGGAGTCCAGGGTGACTGACCCAGGACCCTGTGTGAATTGGGGGTGGCACGACCCCTGGCATCTCCCCTGCCCGGCCCCTGGCCCCCTGGCCTGGTTAGTGGTTGGCTCACTCCTCCTGCCTCGAAGGACTCGCGCTCCCAGCAGAGTCCTTCACGCTGGCCATGAGGCCCAGCCGGCGGCGGACACAGCTCGTGTGGCTCCAGGTGGCCCTGTAGCCAGGAGGTAGGCAGGGGTCTCACTCCACCCCAGTGCCATTGCCCGGCCCGGCCCCACCCTGGCCTCAGCCCCACTCCTGCATCCCTGCCCCCCGTTGATGCGGCCTCTGAGCTGGGGGCCGGGGGAAGAGTTGTGCTTTTGGAGGGTGCAGGTCCCCCAGGCTCGGGGTCACAGGCCGCTCACAGCCCGATGGGAGCGTGAAGGGGGGTTTGCAGACTCCCACCCCACACGCTGCTCCGCTGCCCTCTCACACAGCTATCTGCCTTTTTTGTGTCCCCTCTTCTACCCCCAGGAAAACGTACAAAAAAGGGCATGGCCACCGCCAAGCAGAGGCTTGGGAAAATTTTGAAAATTCATCGGAATGGAAAACTGCTCCTTTAAAGTTTGGAGAGCCAGGATCCTTCTGCTCCGCTCAGGACCCGGAGCCCCGCTACATCATCAGCCCCAGGAGGGTGGCCGCGCTGCCGCGCCCCGGGAGGCCTGGCTTCCTCCCAGCCTCTACTCCCCACACCTGAGCAAGCGCCTGTGCTTCAGCAGGCGGAGCTCGCCAATACCGACAGCTGTCCTTTTTCACGTTGCTTAGAGTGACCAGTTCCCGAAACTCGGCCCCGCCAGCGTGAGGACCGTTCCGGTTTCAGGACGGCCTCTAGGCGCCCCGAGCGCGGGGGTGGTTGCAGGGCCTCTGCGGCTCTGCTGGGAGCATGAGTCCTTCGAGGAAGGAGGAGTGAGCCAACATTCACCAGGCCCAGAGCCTGAGCCAGCCACAGGCTGGTAGCCTCCAGAGGCTTAAAAAAAGGCAAAGAACACTAGAGAGGAAGAGGAGGAGAAAGCAGGGTGTTAATGTGCCCCCATCTCTTCCCAAGTGATTCTCCGACATGTCCAGCGAGCGTTCATTCTGGCCAGGAGAGGGGGGCCTCCAGGCTCCCGGCCGGCAGGTGGCGGGCCAGATGGTGGCGTCGCCCCTGAATGCCCAGGGCATTTCTAGGAACGACGGGCCGGCTGCAGGGTCAGTGTGTTCATGGGTAGGGGAGCCACCGTGGGATCCCCAGCCCTGATGCAGGCCCAGGGGCCCAGGCAAAGCCACATAGTGGGTCCTGTCCAGTCCCACTGTCCACACTCCCAAAAGCACTTGCCAGCCAAGGCACCTGCCCCGGGCCTGGCGGGGCAGATGGCGGCCGGCCGAGCGGCCCAAGGTTGCCGGGGGCCTGGCACTTCTGTCTTGTCACCTGTCACTTGGTGTCGAGTGCATGGGTGGCTCCTGGACCGCGAGTCCACCCATGGACACGGAGGGGCTGGATTTGTTTCTCAGGCAATCCTGTATTTTAATTTTAGATGTATTTCCTGAAGCATATTTTTCATAGAATGTAGCGTGTAAATAGCTTTTTAAATAACTTCTTTTTTATAAGAGTAAAAGTATCTTTAGGAATTTCTTTGTAGAGTCCTTCATTAACATTTATACGAGTTTTTTGCTGAGTCTGACGAACAGTTGGGTTTCCGATGCTTTTTCTTTTCCTTCCTTTTTTTTTTTATTGCTATGGTTATTTTTTTATTTTATTTTAGGGACTAAGGTATTGCCTGAAAAACAAGTGATGTCTGTGCAGCCTTATATCTGTCTTTACAGAAGCGAACAGTACACAAAAGATCTATTTCAGATTTGTTTGAAGATGAGTCTTCAACTCGAATACCAGCTTTCTTTCCTTCTTGTTGATGAAGGGGTGGGGGACAGTTATTTTACTAGCACCTTGTGAAGTGTTCTGTGTTTTGTGATGCTGTAATTTATTAATGTTTGTAGCTTTTTATATTTGTATATTTCTTATGAGCTTTGTTTATATGCCCATCCCTGGGTATTCTGTCCACACGGAGAGGCAGCTTCGTGCAGGCCTTGCCCCTGGCTCGCCTGTCGGAGACGTGGCCGCCGAGCCTGGGGATGGGCAAGGCCACGCTCATGGACCCGACGACTCCAGCCCAGCGTTTTGAAGGTTTCCTTGCCTGTTATTGTTGAACATTTATATAATCTAACCCGGCCATCAAACTGTTCTCTCTCTCTCTCTTATTTTTTAATTTTATTATTATTTTGGCAACATGTACATTTCTAACAAAGTTTATCGTGGCTATTAAAGTGTTTTATTTCCCAATTCATATTACTCTTGTATTGAGTCCATGAGGTCTAAGGCAACTTAAATCAAAGTTTTAAAAGAGTAAAGATATTTCAGGTTTTGTACAGAACCATGTCTGTGTCATTTCTGCCTCATTCACCGCCGTCCATCCTGCAGTGAGGGTGGCAGGGGTCCTCAACGGGGCGGGAAGCACTGTGGTCGGGGGGTCAGGTCTTGTGCACCCTGAGGGCTGGGTGTGAGGGTGGGTAGTCAGACCAGGCCCCCTGCCCACATCAGAGCCGCCAGTGTTCCCCTCAGAAACTCCCGATGGCCTGTGGGCACATACACTGCCTGCACCCCAAGCAGCCTGCAGGAATGGGCAGAAGACACCTGTGTGGCAGGCAGCCTCGAGACCCTAACCTTCCTAGCCCCAGCCCCAAGCATCCTCTAAAACCTTATGGTTCACAGATGGGCAATTTGGCTGAGTCCAGTGAGCACAGGGCCAACCACAAGGCACTCAGGAACAAATACAGAGTTTCGTCTACATCGGACATTATTCACCGCAAACGGACAAAAGCAGAACTCGCCCCCACCCCCACCCCACACAGACAAGTGCGGGCACAGTGAAGGTCAAGGATTGGAGGGAAAAGAAAGACCAGCTGCTGGAGGGGCCGCTGCGGAGGAGCGCGGGGCTGCCTGGCTGCCGGGCATCTCGGGTATCACTGGGCCCTGGGACGGGCCCCTCTCCCCAGGCACCCACAGCTTGAGTCCATTCCGCTGGGCCCCAGGAGGCATGGCCCCTCCCCATCCCAGGCTCGGCACTGCACCTGCCTGGGCAGTGTCCTACCCAGGTCCAGCCAGACTTGGCCGAGTGGCTCCCCACACCCTCACCTCACAGAACCAGGAGACCATGCCTGGCCCTCGGCTGCCCTCTGCAGCCCCTCCAGGCCCAGTTCTGCCTCCTCCCCACCATCCCAGGCTGGCTGGCCCCTGAGCCCGGGCCCTGGAGGCTAAGCTGTGCTCCGTGGGTCCCTTGGTGTTGGTACTGGACCTCCAGAGGGCTGTCAGGCAGGGCTCCCAAAGGCCACCCAGAGACCCCCAGTTCCAGGCCCCACCCTGGTGTGCACCCACACAATCCTGGCGCCGTGTGGCCCAGCCCTGCCACGGGACCTCACTGTGGCCCCATGTGCAGCGTGTTTGGGTGTGTCTGCAAGCACCTGAGACTCGTGTCGGGGTGAGCTTGTGGCAGGGGCAGCAAGGGGCCCAGGTCTTCTCTCGATTCAGGGCCGAGAGCCCCGTGCCAGTGAACTGGGAGGAGGGGCTGAATGTGCTCCCAGCATGGCCCACGGGCCCAGCTCCAACCTCTTCCTCCCTGATAGTGGTCCACCTGGAAGGGAAGACTCCTCCCGGCAAGCTCCTCCACTAAGCCCCCCAGGCCATTTCTGCATCTGGGCCTTCACCACGGCTTTCGGGAGCTGCCAGGAGAAACCCTTTGGGGTACCTTGGACCCACCCTGTGTGCAGTCCCCTCTCAGGGTCTCAGGACCAAACCCAGAGCTGTGTCCGCAGTGAGGCGGGTCCGTGGCACACGGAGACACGGGGCAACAGGCCCTGAGGACTCAGAACCAAGACCTCCTCCCCCCCAGGCTCTCCTCACCAGCCGGGCTCACAGGTGTCCTGACACGAGGCCAGCGCCTCGCAGGTGCTGCAGGACCCCGTGCCATCGCCATTTCGCAGCCCCCTGGCAGCGGGTGGCTGGCGAGAGAGGGGAGCACCACCATCCTGTTGCTGCCCCAGGGGCCGCAGGATGCCAGTGGTTGGGGTCCTGGAGCTCCCACTGCGAGAAGAGCCACCTGGCCAGCAGGGGACTTTGCAGAGAAAACGTGAAGACTTGCATGCGAGGCCGCGGAGACGCAGGCTCTGTCCTCCGGGGATGCAGTGCAGCCGCAGCCCGTGCACTGAACAGCGCTGAAATAAACAGCCTGTAACTCAGATTTCCAAAGTTCAGTTGGATTCCAGAGTCATTTTCTGAGCACCTACTGTGTGCTGGGCTGTTGAGAATCTCCCAGAGCCTTCATCAAAGCCGACAACGAGCCTGCTTTGCCAAGGACACCAAGCGAAGCAAAGGGCCTGCTGCCCCGCGCCTTGCCAGCTGTGGGACTCTAACCATCGCCTGCTCCCTTGGACAGTGGGGCACATGGTGTCCTCTAACACCTCGAGTAGAAGGGCAGTCTGAGCTGTCCTAGGAGCCACCCAAGGGAGAGGAAAGTGTCTTCAGCCAATGTGAGCAAAGGCCCTGAGGCAGGCTCAGGGTGCTGAGACGGTGCGAGTGAGGCGGGGCCGGTTCAGTGAGGACCACGGGCATCCACACGGGGACCTGGCAGGCCCTGGGGAGGCCCTGCAGGCTAGTGAGCAGGTGCAGTGCTTCTAGTGGGGAGCAGCCTACTGGGGAAGGGCTGAGAACAAGGCCCCCAGGGGCCCCTCTTCCCTTGCCCTGTGCCCATCAGCACATTCCCAGGGTCGCTGCATGGGTGGGGAGCTCAGCACTGCAGGCAGCTCTGCCTGTTTTGCATGGCCCTGCTGTCTGGAGGGAGCCAATCCCAGAATCTGCAGGAAAGGATCCTGCTGGGCCCCTGGGGCAATTCTGAGAGTGACCAGTAGAGGGCAGGGGAGGGCCAGAAACAAGCAGTCCTAGGATGGCAGCAGCAAGAGCTCCTTCAGTGCCGGGTGCTGGGCAGGCTGGAGGGAGCAGGGTGGAGCTGAGAAGTAAAGTATCAGCGGCTGCGAGTGCTGGCAAGGAGATGGTAACAATCAGATCAGCTTTGTCCTGAAAGATTGATGTGTCAGATGTGGCAGGATCTGTGGTAGCACATCTTAGCGCCTTCCGAGGAAAGGCCTACGACAGTCTCTATCTTACCAATAGGGAAACTGAGGCACAGAGCCTCATAGCTGGTAGAGCTGGGGTTCAAGTCCAGGTAGGCCAGCTCCAGGGCCTTTGGGCTTATGAGACCGACCCCCAGGGAGATCTTCCTGTAGAAAGTGGCCTGATGGGCAGTTCCCCAAGTCCCCAAGAGGAGGAGCTGTGCCAGCGCAGAGTAAAGGGAGCTGCTGTGCAAAGGCCCTGAGGTAGGGACCAGGTGAAGTGCCTGCCTTGAGGAGACAGCTGGAGTGAGGAGCTGGGCGCAGGGCAGGGGTGGTGAGGTGCGGCGGGGCAGCGGGCCAGGCCACGCTGTGGCACTTGGAGCTTTTCTAAAGGGCAGCATCCCTTCACCAGGCTCTCCCCTCCGTCACAGAGCTTGCCCTCTTTCCAGGCTGCACAGAGACCCCTGAGCCTGCCATCTCTCACCACCCGCCCCCCTCCGGGCCCTGCGCCCCCACCTCGGTGCACAGCAAGGAGCAGATGTGGACACTGAGGCAGGTTTTGTGCAGGGCACATAGCTGCAGGGGGTCTGCCCTCTCTGTCCACAGCACTGAGAGTCTGGACAGGGTGTTGGAGAGTCAGGAGGGCTCCCCATCAAGAGTTTTAAAAAGATGCTGCTCATGTAAACATCTAGGCTGTGTTCCCAGCCCTATGAGCAAGTCTCCTTAACAGTAACTCCCAGTGATAATGGTGCATGTGAGTCATGTCGAAGGCATCAGACAGCAGTGCTGAATTCCACGGGTTTGTCTGTGACGGTGCTGCCAGTGTGGCCACGTTTCCTGAGCGCATACTGTGTGCTGGGCAGGGTGCTTAGGCCGCAACCCCTGAGGTGAGTGGCTGCATTGCTGGCCCAAAGACTTCTTGGCTGGCTCCTGCCCAGGTTGGCTGTGTGGCCTGCTTCCTCATCTGCAGAGCTGGTGGGTGGTGGCCACAACCCTACACAGAGGTGCTGTTGAGCTGACTCTTCCCTGCACGCCATCTGGTCCTTTGCTGGGGCACCCCCCCCCCCTTCCCCAGCCCGCCCTTGGACCTACGCACTGTGTGATCTCTGGCAGGTCACTTCCCCTTTCTGGGCTTCTTCTCCTGTCTGCCTTCTTGGTGATAAGGATAGGGATACGGCGGGGTGGGGGGGGTTGGGGGGGGGGCTACTGGAGCTGAAAGGGGCAGCTTGCCCCATGCAACCGGGCCCACAGCCTCTCCACCATGGCCGGCAGAGGTGGGTCCAGCAGGGCACAGCTGGGCCTCAGGCAGCCGGGCCGGCCTGAGGGTCTTCCATGGTGTGCTGTACCCCGAGGGCTGGGGTGTGAGGCTGCTCCACTCGACATGTTTGGTTGCATTGATGCTTACTTCTCACAACTCAGTTTTGTGTCCCCAGAACCCAGTGGACAGAGGAGTGCTGGGTGGGGCAGCCAGTCCGAAGAGGAGTGATGGCAGGAGGGGAGTCCAGGCCAGGCTGTCGGGCGGCCTGACAAATGGCCTCTCTCCTTAGCCGCCAGCCTGCCTTTCCCAGGCTGAGTCCTGCCGACCGCCTCATCCAAACATCCCTGGGGATGCCACCTCGGCAGAAAAATGATGCTGTTCCATTAACATCTGACACGGATTTGCAGGCCCTAAACAGACGAGTGTGTATGTAAACACCGGGCCTGGCCAGGCCCTCGCTGGCTCAAAGAGGGATCCTCGTAATTAATTGTCCGCCTGCTGGCCCAGCAGCCGGGGCCCACACTCCAGCCAGTGTTATTTCAAGATTGCAATTTCTCCTCGCCTCCCACCAACAGCACTTACCAAACAGCGGATGTGCCGGCGCTTGTAGGAAGGACGGGGAGGGTTCCTGACTCTGTGGGCGTCAACTTTTTTCCTGGTAAAATGGAGTCATCACCCTGCCTCCCGAGGGTCTCGAGAATAAGGCCCACAGGCCTGAGCACCCACCTGCTGGCGTGCAGCCGCGCTGTGCAGGGGGTGGGTCCGTGCTGAGCACCCACCTGCTGGCGTGCAGCCGCGCTGTGCAGGGGTGGGTCCGTGCTGAGCACCCACCTGCTGGCGTGCAGCCGCGCTGTGCAGGGGGTGGGTCCGTGCTGAGCACCCACCTGCTGGCGTGCAGCCGCGCTGTCCAGGGGGTGGGTCCGTGCAGTTTGGTGGATTTAATAAGGGTGTAAGGCTGACTCGACATCGTTACATGTGTCTTTTTACCCTGAAGAGGGAGGATTTGTTCTA